TCTTAAAATAAGAAACTCTTCTTGGCGCCTATTTTAGTATAAAATATACTTAAAGTAAGTGGGATATCCTCAAAACAAGAATACAATTTTTTCGGTGCAGCAATCTCGACAGCGCTGATTTAGATGACTTTCTATGTGAATCTATGAAGAGTTGGAAATTTTTATATTCCCCGGTAATCATAAATCTATCAAGTGTAACTAGGGAATTCTCGACGGTGTAATTACAAAATATCTGTGCGACGACAATCGTTGTGAAAAAATATAACGACGCATATTTTGTGTAAAAATCTTACGCTTGCGTATGAGCGCAGAATAATTGCGAAGATCGAGCGAATCCCTGCCAGAGCGAACGGCAGCGACGACGACGACGCTCCTCTCGAGCAGTCACGTTTCTTTCATCATGGAAATTGGCCAAACTCGTGAGAGGACGCGCCGAGCTATCGGAGAAGTTCGACATTTATTTTCCGCGCGAGACCAAAAGCCGTTTTCGCTGTCTGTCTAGCTGTCTGCCTTCTTCATTCTCTCGGCATGCAAACTCATTGTGCGAGTGCCTCAAGTGCAGACGGAATACACGAAACCTCGAGCTGTCGGATTCCTGTCAGCTCAGGCTGTCGGAGAATTTGCGGAACATGACTGGCGCCAGGCAACCTCGTATACACCGAGGTTCGTACACCTAGTTTTGCGAGCATTTTTTTGCGAGATTTATATATTTGTTTTCCAACTGCACAATAGAGAAAATGAAAAATCAAATTCTTCTCACAAAATCATATGATCTCTCTTTTGTGACATTTCGATATTTTTTGTCAAGATAAAATTACATTTTTACGCAAAAATATATAATATTATATATATATATAGTTCTTTGTGATACCGAGACACACAATATTTTATTTTGAAAACAATTTTTTTGTGCTTTTAAAATTGTTTCCACCATCCGCAGACTTTCATTTGATTTGGATCCATCTTTTTTCCTCCACTCGGTGTTACCAAGTATAATTATTTCACTGCAAAAAACTTTTTGATCACACCGTCAAGACCGCAAAAGAAGGTAAAGCTTACTTTATGGCATTACGAGGAAACGCTTCTTGCGATTCTCGCTCGCGCACTCGTTGGTTACACTTCGTTCATTAAATCCCCTAAAAAAGTGCGCTCGCATCTCTTTTCTCTCTTGCTCTTTAGCAGTATAAAAACTCTTTACGCGTTTCCATAATATTTTTTTACGCGTTTACGTAGCGCTGGCTGGTCGCGGAAGAATATAAAGTACAGTGGGGAAACTACGACCGGAAACCGAAGCTCTATTTTGAGGAGGAACAACCGGCCTCTCTCCGGAAAAAAAAAGATAAAAAAAGATCGAGGAAAAAAAAAACAAAAATGCATTTGTGCCCGCGTATAAAACTCATTTACGGTAGCAGGCGCGTTCACAATAAAACTGACAAAAATGAGACTGACTTTTTACGAGCAACCGTTCCAACTTGTTTCTTTTTTTTTGTGCCGCAGGTTCATATTAATTTAGGCGCGGGCGAAACCGAGGTGGCGAGCGCCCGCGGATTGACACTGAACGACCTCAGCTGGCACGAGGTCAATCTAACGAGACGCGAAGCCAACGTCAGCTTACAGACCGATGTGATACACACGACCAGAACCCAACTGCCGGGTCGCTTCTTCGAGCTGAACATACACTACGGCGTCTTTATTGGCGGAAAGGGCGACTTCAACGAGATATTTCTAGGTAAGATTGTGCAAAGTGAGCAGGGAACAGAGAGCCTAGCAGAACTTGATTCATCCGGATAAATTGTCCCGACACATGACTGAACTAGATTCGATGTCTTCGGCAAAAAAAGCGCATTCGTTAATGTTGCACCCGCGGTCTCGATCGTTTCCACAGCTCTTTTTTTTTTGTTTCGTTAAACGCTCAACGATCTGGCGCAACTGCTTTGGAAACGATAGAGAGATTAAGTTTGAAGCTGAGAAAACACGCTTAATAAATAATTAGCGTTACATTTGTACACAATCAAGTGTTTCGCTTCGAAATATTGCCGGCTATTTAATTATTAAATTAATTACATTTGTGCGTTTTTTAACTATTTTTGTTAAAAACTCGAGCGCAAAAGTGCTCTCTCTCTCTCTTTCAAATATAAACATATTTCACAAATACGTTCGCTATGAATAATACAGAAATATTTGAATAATAATATATGTATTGTACGAATATTATGTTACTATATATACTCATTACATATAAAATATAAATGAATAATAAATAAAAATATAGTTTGCAAAGAACAAAGCAAAAGACCTGTGTAGTTAATTATTATACGCAACTTTTTTATTATTTTTCATTGAATATTTTTTCAAAAAAAAGTATAAAAAATTCGAAGTTTATATAATATTTTTTTTTTGCATATCGGATAAAATCGGATAAAATTATCGCAATACTCGATACTGTAAAAATTTAATTTAGCAGAGAGAGAGAGAGAGAGAGAGAGAGAGAGAGAGGAGCATTTTGCAGATAATATGATATTAATAAGTTAATAATTATTTATTCGGTTAAATTGATCCACACCGTATATAGATAAAGTAAATTTAATACACAGCAACGCAGGGCTTGAAAAGTAAGACACTTAAAATATAGAGTTACATTTGCTTTCTTTTTCATATTTTTAAAAATTAAATGTAAAATCACGATAAAAATACAGTTAAATATTTAAAAGATAAAAATGTATATATAATATAATAAACAAGAACAGATTAATCTGTACAAATCTGTTTTTACTCCTGTAATATAAAAAAAGTAACATGTAAAATTAAAATTTGTTCAATTTCAGTTAATTTAAATATTACATGTCAATTATAGATTTTCTTCTTCTTTTACTACATAAGTGATGCCAGTAAAAAGATAAGATTACATTATTGTATATTAATGTTATGAAATTACGATTTAATAATTTAGACTATTTCCAAGTTCCGTACATTATGCATGCAATATTATTAATTTCCGTTTCATGATTAATTTATGAAATTAACAGAAACAATATATATTTAATTATTATTATTTAGAAGCAATTATTAAAGTTTGAAATAAATGTATTGTAGACCGTGTAAATGTTTGCGCATACATCAGAATATTTAAAACGAAAATAAAAATGCAGAATGCACGCAGTAATACTGGTAAAGTTTAACAAGATCATGAAACCTTGATGAATTATCTTCCGGAATCGTGTTACATTCAAGTCCACTTGCGGCAACGAAATTACAAACGATAACTGTGTCAACATAGAACGACGAGATATGTCGACACAATATTGTTTCGGTTTCTATAATGACAATCTCGCGAGATGGAATGAAGATAAGAGCAAAAATTATGAAAAATGTATTTCCTGAAAGTAAAAGTTTGTGTCGTAAAAAAACCGTCGAAGCTTAAAGTTCGGAATAAACAAATCTAATGGCAGTGCTTTAGAAAAAAAATTAAGAAATAACATTTGCAAAATAAATGGATAATAATATTTAAAAAATATATATAAATGTGTCGGAAATTCAATATGTATGTTACTCTATGTATTTTTTATATAATTTTGGCGTTCTGCAATATTACATCTGCAATATATAAAATTTAAAAGAGCAATTTTTAAAATCTCTCTTAAATGATAATTTTCTAGGAGGAAAAGCTTGGATGTTATCTTACAATTTCTAGAAATGTAGAGAACTTATTTCGTAGACTTTTCTTTATTCTGGAATGAAAGTTGTTGAAGTTTTCTTTAGTGCAATTATATTAATGGAATTACGTAATTAAATACATAGACATACTTATCGTAGAATTATCGCATATAAAAACACATACATAAAAAAAATGATAAACAAACTTGAATTAATACAAAAAATCAGTTATGTATGTGTATAAATTTATAAAATTTAATGAAAAATAACTAAAATCTGTATCTTAATAACTTTAATTATACGTTTCCTTAATTTAAAAAATAAAAACGGATTGTTGCCAGTTTATAAATGAGTCATTAAAAATACACACATACTCTCTGTTTGTTCCGGATGATATACATGTCTATGACAGAATCAATTGATTGCAATTGCGCCGAGTCATAACGACGAGTGAAAACAAGTGATTACAAACGGCACAGTGACCGATATTATTATATCGAAAGTATGACATACACGCTGTCTCATGTTTCCGCGGTGGCACAAAATGCTTTGAATAATGGAACACCGGCCAAACGCTCTGCGCAAAATCGTACGTACCGGGGGATGTAATTCAAACATTTGCCTGCCTTTGTTTTCGTTGTGTTCGGCCGCTACGTGTTTCAACCCTCGTCTTGCGCACCAGTAACAGACGTAATTACATATACCTTTCGATATACCGTTCTATCAGCGCTTTATCAATGCCAACGTAAGTGTAAAAAATATATACATTCAAGTACATTTTACAATTAGACGGGAGTCAAGTCAATCACATTTATAATCTTGTCGATGTCCTAATTTCATTATCTATCTATCGCACGCGGATTCTATTTGCTACGAGAGAATAAATTGAAAGTCGCGATACGAAAGTCTCTCATGAAGAACGACGATTGAAAAATTCTTCTTCCATCTCTCGCGGCTACAACGCTCGGCTGTTACGCCTTTGCGCGGTGAAATTCCGGATTATATGTTCTTCTGCTTCACAGTACACTTCGCTACTATACTGGTCATGGAATACTGCGAGTTCGACGACCAAGAAAAGGCGAGAAAGGATATCCTTTCTATTCTCAACTCATATCAAAAAAGAAAAAAATCGCGCAAAAACTTTTGTAACGAGAAAAACCGCATTATTATTACTCCAAAGCATTTCCGAGAGTGAAAAATATATACCAAGCCAATATTATCTACACAATTATATATAGAAGATGTATTAGAATTGGACACTATAAATAATGGATTAATCTAACAATACAATTAAAAAAAAAGAAAAAACTGATTTTCGGAAAAATCAGGAATAAACGCGAATCATTGAAATTCTATCGACTCAGAGTTGTTAAGGGGAGGTTCTAGTCAAAATCGAAAACAAAAATTTTTTTTTTTTTTGCTTTATTTTCATCCTTAGGGTCTTGAAAATGTGTAGCCAAAAGGATATTTCCCTATATAATTTATTTATTTATTTATTTTTATTTTTTTTTTATAATAACTTTTTTTTGCGCGCCGCACACGATTCCGCTTCAACAACTTAACCGATTTCGATGTTTAACGGCTCAAATTAAAGCTTATTCAATTTAGAGGGCCTTCAGGAAGCGTTTTAAAAAAAAATTGTTTATTATTGTTTTTTTAACGTTAAAATCATGAAATTACGTTAATTTTCGGGCCTTTTGACTAGAACCTCCCCTTAAATGTACTTGTGACTACGCAACTCTAATTTCTTTTTGTAATAACTTGAGTATAAAGTAATTTGGTTCTTATAAGTTTTTCGCGTTCTATATGTGCCACAAGCATGAATTTAATAACGATCAGGCTTTTTTTAATACATATCTGGCGCATCAGTCACCAACGATCGGTAATCGTTTCTACGTAGTGAGACAAAAAATTTCACTGGGCCGTTTCTATTGACGCGGACGAAATTGAATTTCGAACGGCACAAACAATAATGTTTTCTCTCTCTTCTTTCGTCCTTTATCTTTCTCTTTCTGGACGTGTTGTCGCCTCGTCGGCCGTCACGCATAATACTCGCATAATACTTGGCGGTAACCAACTCAGAATTCAATTTACATATTCATGACAATTCATTTGTACTCCATGGCACGGTGTGGCCCACCCCTTAGAGGAGGTTCTATTAATTCCTCGGCATGGGTCTCGCTAAATTCTCGAGATCGAGGAACAAAGAAGAACTCGACTGCCTTAGCATTCGAAAAAGGTGCAAACTCATTCTCAGTAGAAAATCACCTAGGGTTGTACAAGACTCTCCGAAAATAGCGTTAAGTAGTTGCAGAAATACGATATCTTTGGAAAAAAAAAAATTGCAATTAATTTCTCTACAAGGATGATGTTTTTCAACTATTCGCTCTTCAACTATTAACAGTTTAGTTGCCAAAAAAACAAATATGTCGATAATAAAATTAAGAGGGTACTAGATACCTAATTACAGCAATAAGTACGACAAAAAAGAATTCAATGAGACACTCAGATTATGATTGGAATGTGTAGTTGACGAGAAAAAGCGATTCTCGTGATGACAATATAGGTTATCACATACTATCTTTGTAAATGAAAAAAAGAGCATTATATATCCATTTTCAAGAGCACCNTGTAGTTTTTTTATATTTACTTGCTTCAGTAGAAGCATTTTTCATGTGATGCAGTACACAAAATTAGANATTAGAGAAATTTACGTTTCTAAAACGTCGATTTACAGGTCTCTATAGTCGGTATCCAGTACCCTCTTAAGCTTCATACTCTGCTAAGAGAGAAATAATACTTTCAGTTTCTTAACTGTGTAACTTAGAAGTTTAATTTATATATCTTTAAGTTTCAAAGTAATTCATATTGCGAAATAAAATTTTGCTCCTAAAGCACATTCTGGAACACCGTGTGCATATTATACATATAGATATAACTATACATATATATGTATATATATATATACGTGTGTGATATATTTCCACGTGCACATACACACATGAGAAATCATACAATGTCGACGTACACTTACCTATACAGCCGATTGCAAGATTTCTGGCGTGGGTTCCGCTTATCGGTTGCCATTTCCTCGGCTTCGTAGAAATATAGGGAATATTCTCGCCGCACGCGACGTATATTTGATAGCTGCAAAGAAATCAATAAAAATATATTGATTCCGACGTTGCAATGTTGGGATCCTACCATCTATCGAAAAATTTCCTCGATTTTGTTATTACATAAATATAAATAAAAATTCCTCATGTCGCGGTGTAATGACGTGAATTATTTTTTTTTTATCGCCATTTCTTTCGTAGCGGTCGTCTCTTTGCGCGATATTTCGATTTCATATATCATTA